GTACATATAACATTCTTTAATAAATTGAGTCTGTGCTGTGTGATAAATACATGTTTCAGAATGCAAATTCATTAAGCATATTATCTGTAATATCATTATAGCACAAATGCATTCATGTGCCTCTGTGCTATTATTTGTATATTTATTTTTGAAAAGTCTTTGTAACTAGGGAGATACTCTAAAAAAATATTAAGCACTGTTGGTTTTTGTTGTTGTTTATTATTGTTTTTTTTTGCCAGTTTATGACTGAATAGTGTTCCTGGTGACAAAGCAGTGAGTCGGCCGTAGTACAATGCTTCTTAACTCCCTTTAACCACAGCTTATAGGGGCTTTACTTTGCTGTCTTTGTCTCAGCCCCTTTCTCTGTCTTAATGTTTTACTGTTAGAGATAAGCATAAACATTTTCTTGCACCATTGCTTCTATATAGCACTTTTAAAAACCATTAAGATTAAAGTTGATATCCTTCAAAAAATAAGAAATGAAGCAAAATAACACTAACATATTAGCTATTGATATTACTGTTGGCTGCATGTTGACAGAATTTTCTCAACAGCCAGAGGCTCAAAGTTAATTGTGATTTATCCAGTGCTGGGCTTTTTGTATGTTCAGCTTTTATTTTGTTCTCTGCATCTGTCTGAATTTGGCAGTGTGCTTGTACATTTGGTTCCACAGAGGTGATGGTGACAAGCTGTGTGCTGAATTCTCACTATAAAACTGCCACTCACTATCTTACAGGTAGGAAAAATTAAGAAATCCATCATTTAACCTTGATTTTGGTTCCAGATTGCACAAAATATTGTTTAATTTTAGTTTGTGTTGAGTTGACATAGAGCCCATTGGTGGGTGTAGTTCAGAACCAGTGTCCAGTGGGTATTTGAGTCATAGAGAAAGTATTTTTTTGTAGTTCCTCACAACATTAAATCTGTCAAAGTGGTCGTGCTTTGCAGTGTTTAAAGTACCACAAGCCAGTAAAGTTTATAGAATTTTATTTGAGGGAATTTAGAACTATTTCAAGTTTTTTCTTTTGTCTGATAAAAAACCATTAGAAAAAGACTGATGCTGCACATATACAGGAGTTGTTGACTACTGCAAACTTACAGCACACAGTGTATGCATAATTAAAACTAAAAACAAGTAGTATATTGTAGTATGTTGCTCGTTAAATACTTAGTATGTGGTTCAGTACAGACTATGAGTGATGCCTGCCTTTAATCCCTAAATGGGTTCAGTAGAAAAAATGAGGAAAGGGGAGTGGCAGAAATTGCTTGCTACATACCCTTTTCCTGTTTAAACAAAACTATACAAAGCTCTGTGTAATTCCCAGATCTTGCTGTGTTTTGCTTTGCTTGGACTGTTTTCTTCCATTTACCTTTGCCTCTGATTAGCTACTTCCCATTTAAAATTTCTTTAAGGCATTGATGCCATTATTGCTGATTAACTGTAATATGGGATACTACTTAACAAGATGTGTAACATTTGTTTATGCTGTGGAATATCACTTTTACTGTAAAAGCCATCAGCCAAGTATTTATAATTTTTTTGTTTGGTTTTTACGAGACAGGGTTTCTCTTTATTGATTTGGAGGCTGTTGGTCCAGCCTGGCCTCGAACTCACAGAGATCCGCCTGCCTCTGCCTCCACCGCCCGGCCCAAGTATTTATAATTGATAAGAAGTGTCTGTTTGGTTAATTGGGAGCCAACTGGCAGGGCAGAGCTGATTGGCAGAACAGAAAAACTCTGCCTACAAATGGCATCCCATGTTGGGTACCAGATAATGCAATTTCTTTTACCATCTATTATAAAATAAAACTTAGGGACAAATATTAATGCTAAAAACCTGAGATAATCACAAGGACCATAAAACACACTGCCACAGTTTACTTCACCAGTTGAAAAGGCCCAGGCAACCTTCCTGGCCTGTCACCTCTTCCTGGAGGCCAGGTTACTCTGTGATCCATTCTGGCCAGCTGAATGTGAACCCCGCCTCTCAAATCAACACCTGACTCCATTGAACATCGAGCCACAATATTGACAAACTTCCATAACACATGGGCAACCTGCAGTGAGAACAGATGACTATTGAAATGCTCAACACTTGTATCTAGGAAATATGCCTCTTTGCCTTTGGGAGTGCTTAGTGCCAAGACTGGAAGCCATTTCTGCTGGTGCTTTAGGAAGTCTGCAAAGAACAGCAAGATGGATATATCTGCAGCTTCTACAACTTCCTGAAAACGCACAGGAAGGTGACAGTTTTCTTGTCATTTTGCACCAGTGTTCTGACTTAACTGCAACACGGGGCTGCATTAGAAATGTGCATGCAGTAGAGGCAGATCTGAAGTCCATGATAGGCACTAGTGTGTACTGTGCTGAGGAAGTCAGAAGATACAGAGAGTTGCAAGAACGCAGTCCTACCCTCAAGAGACTGGCACAATCAACAGAGGAAAAAAGAAATGCATAGAAATGTTTGAAGAAAAAAATGGCCGAAGTGTAGAGAATAGTGGATTACTTTTTTTTTTTAAAGGAATGTGTTCATTCTTTGTTCCAAAAGCAAAGCATAAAGGTTTACTAGTTCGTTTACATTATTGAACATGGATAGGTTCATAAATCCTGCATGAAGTATTTATAGACCTTCTGAGTAGACTTTTTTGGTTTCATGTATGAGTAGTGAGCCCATGTTCATGGCTGCTTTGTCATTCAGACACAGAATTGGTGGTTGTGTCTATGTATGTAGTGTTCTAGGGGAAATGCTTTGGTATCCAGCAGTTTTGTATATGTATACATGTATATGCATATGTACACATATTTTTAATGTGTTTTTTCTTTTAGCGAAGTATTGGCTTTGCTGTGGCACCTTCATATGTTCTTTGTTTTTTGTTGATCCTCCTGCCCCTTGCCTTTCCCCTGCCCTGCAGATTGTCCTCTGCTGGCCTTCTTCTCGCCTGTAGCCACCCTGCTGTTTACTTATTGTGTTTAGGTAGAAGCTTGCCTTGCTACAACACAGAGACAGAGTAGAAAAAAGCTTCCCTGTGCGAAGGCACCAAACTCAGCTGCCAGGCTTTACAGAAAGGAGTTATCCTCCCTTCTACTTTCAAGTTACACGTGATCTGTTAACTCTCCTGACTCCCAGTGACATCTTTTTCCTACTTCGATGCTTCCTTTTCTAGTTTTATGAGCTCCACCCACACCCCTAGAAATGTGTATAAAAATTAAATTCTAAGATCTGCATATGAGAGATATGTGGTATTTGTTTTTCGGAATTTGAGTTAATTCACTTAACATGCTTTCCATTTCTATCCATTTTCCTGTAAATGTCATGATTTTTTTCTTTATAACTAAATAAAATTCTATAGTATGCATACACATTTTATTTATTCATTTGTTCCAACAGATTCTTAAAGGGTTCTGTGACCGAGAATTTCAGAACCACCAGTATACAGAATGTGTACATAGACTCAGACGTATAGAACTTTTCCTTTTTACCTCCATTTCAAGCCATTCTACCCAGTAGTTGACTGCTGAAGAGTAAACAATTTTTGCATCAGATATGTTACAGTTTATGCACCACGTTCTTTTTAGAAAATGGATAGGCCAGTGAGATGGCTCAGCAGATAAAGTCCCTTGCCTCCAAGCGTGATCTCTCGAATTTAATTCCCAGTAGTCACACAGTAGGAGAAAGCCATCTCGCAGAAGTTGTCTCTGACCTCATCCACACACACAGTAAATAAGTAAGGAGAGGAAGGAAGGGAGGCTGTTTTAGACAGCAGAGCAGAGACTAATTGAACATGTTCTTCATGAACCCTGCGCACCATGGTTTGATCACTTCCTAGGGTAGTTGGCTGGGTAGTGCATCATGTAGCATAACACAGTCCACACTCGTACCTTTCATGAGAAAAAGCCCTCATTGTCACTACTTCATAGACAAGAATCCTGAGGCTCAGTGAGTAACGGATGTCGCAGTCTCTAAAAGTTAGGAAAGCGTGGTTAGCCCTATGTGCACCTGACACCTGTGTTTCTCCTTCTCAGCAGATTGTTCTGTGATGTAGGAACTGCTTTGTAACATTCCCCCCAGAGAACAAACAAAAGAAGCTCTTCAAAATGAGTTCTCTTAGCCTCAGGTGGTGGCATATGCTTTTAATTCCATCACCTGGGAGGCAGAGAGGCCAAAATATGTGACTTTGAGGCCAGCCTAGTCTACATAGTGAGTTCTAAGACTAGGCTAGCCTCAAAGTCACAGAGAGAATCTCAAAAAAAACAAGCAAATTAAAAAAAAAAAAGAAAATCCTAAATAAATAAATAAATAAAATTCCCATGATTTTTAGTGGTTTTCTTTTTGAATGTCAAAATGTCTTTTGAAGTGAAGGGCCTTCACAGTTAATGGGCACTGAGCATGAGGAAACAAATTGTCACCAGGCCTAGCCTTCAACATAAAAAGAAAAATGTACATCCAAACCTAGATTGCTTGATCAGATTTAGAAATTATATTATGCTATTTTTATACTTATATCATAAACTTGTGTGTGAGGAATGTTACTACAAATGTACTAGAATGGGAAAGAAATGTCTCAAACCTCAGATCTCACATGATGCCTTCTGTAGCCCCTCTGCTGATATTTCCTGTACAGACAAGTCTTCCTGAGGAACACATTTGCCTGTTACTTGTGTTAGATACAATAGAAAGGTTAGAAATGTTAAAATCCTACAGTGCATTATTTGAACCATCTTTAATTTGTGATGCTGAGTTGAGAGGAACATTGACAGCTAGACCACTCATGTTTTAATGCAGAAGTATGAATTTATATATAATTTTTATATAATTAAGTACTTAAGAATATACTATAAAGTATTGTAGCCTAAGTTTTCTCTTGAAAATATAGGGCTTACCAAAGTATAAGTTCAAAATCTCTTATGGTTTTATTGTTCAAACCCTTTTTTGGGAAAAAAATGAAGTATACTTATTTTTGAAGTATACTTAATATTCTGATTTTTTTTTTATTTTTTAGGTAAGGCACTGACATTTCTTCTGCTACAGCCACCAAGTCCCAAACTTCCTCCTCATAGCACGATCCGGAGGACTGCCATTGACCTGATTGGGCGAGGGTTCACTGTGTGGGAGCCCTACATGGATGTGTCTGCTGTACTGATGGGGCTTCTAGAGTTGTGTGCAGACGCTGAGAAACAACTTGCCAAGTATGTGTGAATTCCAGCGGGTTAGCATGTTGTTGTTGGAGGTATTAGTTATACTTTAGAAACTGTGTATTTAATGAGCACTAAATGTACTAGTCATGATGTTCATGCTTGTAGCCACAGCATTCAGGATGCCAAGTCAGGAGGATTACTGCAAGTTCAAAGCCAAACAGGGCTATCCAGTAAGCCCCTGTCTTAAAAAACTGAAAACAAAATAAAACAATACAAACTCAACAGAAAATAGAAAATTGAAATGTAGCCTTGAGACAATGAATGATCTATTACATAATTTTCAAATTGTGTTTACTATACCTTGAGACATTACTTATTAATAGTTGTATATACATATAGTTTATAAGAAAAATGATATACATAATTGGTATTAGATCAGAACTGTTTTACTAATAGAAGATTGGACTAGACAATTTGGATACTTGCTCCTCTACATTCCTGTTAACTTTTAAATTAGTTTTATTGGCCTTTCCTTTGTATATAGTCAGTGACAAGTTATATGGTGATTGGAGTTGGGAAGGTAGAATGACTCACTGGGCAAAGATACTTACCACCAAGGCTGACAGTCTATCGGCCCCACATGATGGAAGAAAAGGACAAACTCCTGAAAACTGTCCTATGACCTCCCCTGAGGCATACACATTCATTAAATTTTTGATAGACCATAATGATCACTTTAAAATAACTGAAGAGGAAAATATGCAGAAAGAGTTGCTAACCTGGAGTGGAAACAGGTGCTGGTGAGCTAACTAGGAGTGGTGGTGGTGAAGATGGGCATTGGTTCTGTCTTAGCACCCTGCCTCCTGATTCCAGAACATAGCTCCTTTTGGGGTGTATTACACAAGTGGCATAAAATGGGCCATTATCGACATGAGTGAACTGACAGTTTACAGCCATCACAACTACCTAGTCCCCAATAGTGCTAATCCGAGTAGACAACATTGTCCATAAGGCTGTTTCTCCCCATTCCTCTGTCTGCATGCTTTAGGAAACACTAATCTTCAGCCTTTCTTAAATTTTTGTGCCCTAGGTAGTTCATAGAAATGACATCATGTATCCTGTATTCTTTCATGATTCACTTCTTTTGACTTCTCCCTTTTATAGATTCCATCCATATTGTAGTGTGTTTCACTGTGTCTTTTATTTTCTGTTGTAGTTGAATTCCATCCTACCTATGGTTAGCCAGTGTCTTGTTTATCTGTTGATAGATGTGTAGCTATTTTTTACCTTTTGTACTTGTGAACGCAGCTACTGTAAACATTCATATGTGTTTATGTGAGAACTCATTTTCAATTTCTAAGTGGGATTAGTGAAACTTATAATTCCATGTTTAAATTTTCCAGGAGCCACCAGGTTTTCATAGTGACTGAATTTTCATTATCATCAACACTGTGCAAACAAGATTTCCATTTTTCTATTTACCTTTTTTGGGGGGGGTTGTTCAGACAGGGTTTCTCTGTATTGTTTTGGAAGCTGTCCTGGAACTCGCTCTGTAGACCAGGATGGCCTTGAACTCACAGAGATCTGCCTGCCTCTGCCTCCCAAGTGCTGGGATTAAAGGTGTGCACCACCAACCCCTGGCCTTCTATTTACCTTTCAAAGTATCTGATCTTAGTAAATATAAATGGGTAGAAATTCCCTTATTGTTCCATGATGCCTCTTTCTGTGAAAGTGAATGGCATGCCAGTGTTATCATTATTTACCTTTTTTTTTTTTTACGAGACAGGGTTTCTCTGTATTGTTTTGGAGGCTGTCGGTCCAGCCTGGCCTCGAACTCACAGAGATCCGCCTGCCTCTGCCTCCCGAGTGCTGGGATTAAAGGTATGCGCCACCACCGCCCGGCCATTATTGACCTTTTTAAAAACTAAAATGATCTGCTCTTTGCTTCATGGCTGCTTTCCCTTATGATCTGGTTCCCTCCAGTTACAGTATTTTGGGGACCTATTATCTTTGTGCTAGATGTGCTAAGTACACTATGTGGAAACCAGCGAAGACTAGAATACAATGCTGTGGTTTTGCCTACAGATTAGCTAGCCATTGCCCGGGGCCCCCTGGGTTAACTGTAACCCTAGACAACTGCTTTCCTCCCTTACCTCTTGTCACACCTCCATGTTTTCTAAAGACACCTCTAGGTCTCCCTAGCTGCATGAATGGTATTAAACTGTCTGTTTCTAAAGGTTGATGCTAAATGAGATTGTGTTTGCAAAGAACTTAGAGGAGTGGTTAGCACATCCTAAGTGTTTTAATTTGTTTCTCAGTTACTGTGATAAAACATTCTGTCAAAAACCAACTGAGGAGAGAAGGGGGTTATTTCCCTTACACTTTCCAAGTCATAATCCATCACTGAGAGAAGTCAAGGTAGGACCTTGAAGCCAAAACCATGGAGGAATATTGATTACTTATGTCCTGCCCTGGCTTTGACTCATACTCAACTAGCTTACACACACACACACACACACACACACACACACACACACACACACACACGTATCACCCATGACTGCCTGCCTAAGGATGGTATTGCCCACAGTCAACTGGGTCCTTTTACATCACTTAGCAAGCAAGATGATGTCCCACAGACATGCCCACAGCCCTGTCTGATAGAGGCAGCCAGGTCCCTCGGGTTGTGTCAAGTTGAAAATAAACTATCCAGAATGTTGAAAGACTGATGAAGTTACTGTGGTAGTCACTGTGTAAGTGGAGATACTGTTGTGATGGTCCCAGCGTTCAACACATTACAAGCTGGCAAATGGGCAGCTTTATAGATTAGTGATCAGAATAGTGTCTGATAAAGAGGGCAGCAGATATTTCTCAGGTGGCTTTTGGAATTAGGAAGGAATGTTGGCACATAAGTTTACTCCAATAGTGCAAGGCAACTGGCCTTTGTGCAAATCTTCAGGACCTATTTTCTGCTTTTAGTCTCCTCCTGACTCCCTGTTGTGTACCCACAGGAGAATGCAGCTGTGGTTACCAAAGCTCTCTTGGTTTATCTGAAGAAGCATGTAATATGTTTAAGTGTTTGTTTTCAAATCTGACGAAACCCAATTTCACAAGTTTATATACTCTGTTTGGTTACCTGGAATGAATGGTAGGTTTCCTTTTAGTTTTAGGGTTACGATTTTATTTTTGAAATAAGTTCACATCAAGCTTATATCAGCAAAGTAAACATGTATATATGCCTCATCTACAGATAGTATGTCAAGAGACGTAAATCCTATGATTTTCAGTAGGTAATTTCAATCCTGCCATTACATCCTCTCTGTCACAAAGATTAGTATGACTTTCTCCACACAGCTCTGAATAAATGAATGTATCAGCATGTAGCCTTGAGGAGCCCAATGTTCTTTTCATTGTGATAAATTGCATAATAAGCAAGAAAATGTTTGCTTATTAATCTCTAACAAGATTTAGACTGAAAATGGCCTCTTACATCCATGACACACTTGGTAGAGGCTAAGGAGTTACTGAGATGGGGAAGTAGAGTAGCAGTGAGGGTCTTAGAGGTGACTCTTACCACCCCACACCTCATGCCCTGCTGTGGTTTATTTGCTATGTGCACAGTAACAGGGCTCAACTGCCTTGCTTCTGCCCAAGATGCTAAGCTTGCTGTGTGAAAAAACTTTTACATTAGATAAGTGCTGAGCATTTCAATTCACATTTATGGAAAGAAAAAACATAGCAGACATTTCCCTCCTTATTCCCATTCTTGTGAGTCCATGAGGACAGGCTTGTGACGGACAACTAGTTCTACAGAGTACACATCACAGAAGAGTTCTTCCTCCCTCTCTTTCAAGTACAGGTCTTCCCTGTCAGAATCAACTGCTTGGAGTTTTTCCACAGACCTGTAGGTGCCTCGAGGTCAATAGAATGTTTTCCCAGAATTCATAACACCTTGCTGTATAATTCTTACCAATGACTTCTGTCTAGTCACAACATCAGCATTTCTTTCTAATTTTTTTCAGATATTTTGCTCAAAGATGTGCTTACTAATTATGTAGGCTTTTATTAACTAATATATGAGAGGGCTAATGTTAGATGTTTCTAGTTTCAGGTGGAATCCAACAAAGGTCCAGGACAGTGTCCAGGACATTGAGGATGTAGGGTTGGTAAAGAGGCAGACAGGCCAGATGGAGGGCATTAACCGGGTATGCAGAAGATGTGCCTGGATTTTCATATCAGAATAGTCTGTGGAGAAGAACGGGGATACACGACAGAACGAGGCCAGACACTGGCATGTCTTTAAATAGATCCTGAGTGAAAGTAAGCTTCCTCTGAGTTAACAACAGGATGCAAACTGGGATTCACCCATCACGAAACACAGCTGCTTCCCTTCCAGCTGTCTTTGGGAAGTAGAGAAGGCTAGGCTGAAGGGTGGTGTAACTGGAAGCCCCTTGCTCTTAGCTATCACCTACTGTGGACACTGATGTAAGATGGACCTGCAGGTTCAAAGTGCTCTCTTAAATTGATACAGGGGAAATTGGGAGCCACGTCTTGGAGCTCTTAGTGTAATTAATAAATAATTTAAGAATGGACTCAAATGGAAGCTCAAGGGCAATTTTATTAGAGTTTAAAAGAAAAAAAATATGGCAGGCAAGCTGTAAATCTCAACAGCTTCCTGTAGGAGAATAGGGGTGAGGGGTTATGCTGTTTAAGGTGTTCTCTCATGAAAGTCAGACACATGACAGACAAGCATTTATATGACTGGGAGGAAGCTGTAGGGAAAAGTAAAAAAGCCTAAAATGTTGAGGAGGCTCAAAATGTTAAGCAATGTGCTTAGAAAACACATAAAAGGAAGAAAGGGTAAATATACTATTGTGAATAATTCAGAAAAGTGGGCAGGTGTACAAAGATGCATGGCTGCAAACCAATAAACTACAGTTCTAGGGGTGCCTATTCTGGGAAGTAAAAGTACAGTATTCCTTTAAAGTACTTGTTGTGTCTACCTCCTGACCATGCTTACTGTGAACTGTGTTCCTAGGGGTGGTCCTTTAGCTAAGTGAGTAACCTGGCCAAACTGAAGTGTTAGGTCTCAGGCCAGGGATTCTATTCTTACAAGAATGATGTTGCTTACTCTAACAAACACACCTCTGAAGAGGTGACCCTAAAGTCGTTTAGGAACTAAATTAGACATCAGAGCCCCTCAAATTTCTGGCATCTCTGGCTATGAAGAGGCACCCAGGGACTCAAGGGAAGTTTTGGGGTTTCTCCGGAGAAAACTGGGTAATTTTCTTGGAAATCTTTTTAACCTAAATTGCCTACCTAATTTCTATCTCCTGTTGGACCTTTATTGCTTACTCTACCAATATGCAATGCTACTTGGGGGTTTATATGCTGTGTTTATTGCAGACACGTTCATTTAGGCATATAGATGCCCAAGGCAGTAAACATGATTCTTCCCATTTCGCAAGTGCACACCCAGAGATATAGTATATGAATCTGTAAGAGATACTGCCTCTTGTTTTCTAGATGGTAAAAACTACTGGGTTTAATTTCAGGTCTGCTTGACTCCAAACGTTAAAACTCTAACACTACTCAAAATCTTAACACCTGCAAAATTAAAAGCAACTTAAATAAAGATTACAATAAAAAATGGTCAGGGTACAATCTTAAATGTCCTTTTGGATTTTGTATTTAATGAAATTTTCATTAAGGATTTTATACCTTATAGATATTAAAATTTTTATTTAAATATAACTAATTCTTAAAAATATAGAATGTGTCACAAAGTTGATTGCCAACCTTGCACAGGGCCATGATCATTTTCTCTGATGGTTGCAGTTTTAGTGTATGTCCTGCCAAAACAAACATTCACTAAATTCTTTCAGTAGTGTGTTGGTTCTACTTATTTGTAGCGGTAGGCAGTGATTTTAATAAAAAGATTGAGTTGACATTCTCCATCAACTCCACCTGGCCCAGTGCACTCAGCATGCAAAGGGCTGCACCCACTTTAGGACTCTCAGCTCCTCTTTCACAGCTATTGTACTTAAGGCTAACACTCTTTGTTTGGTAAGTGATCCACAGGTAGGATTTTTAAAAAATGGTGTATGTATTCAATATGGACTGTATAACACAATATTGAAATAATTGATAACTCAATTATTTACAAATAATTGAATATCATAATTAACCCAGTTAGTTGTGATAAAAATAGAAACATAGTTTTTTGTTTAAGAATTCCCTTTTTAAAATCTATGTGGGTCTGTGCATACTGATCAAGTGCTAGACATGTCAGACAAACCCTGCTGTATAGGCAAGCAGACAACTGTGCTCCTCGAAGGCTAGACACCTTCCTAGCTTTGTGTGACCTGTGATTTGGATTCTGTTTGCCCAAGTCGCTGTGTAGGGCCTTTATTGTGAAAGAACAGTGGAGAGCTGCCCAGCTGTTGAAGGGGCCACACTCGTTGCTGCCACAGCTGAGGACATGAGGGGTTTACAGAAAGCCTATTGCTTTTAGGGTATTGTCACAGCTTACTAAACACAGAGGGGGAGACAGAGCTGCTAAAAGCCAAGCATCTTTGATATACAGAGAAGCACCGTACATTGGAAAGGCTCCTTTTGAACTATATAGAGTTAGAGAGAAGAACTGAGTATTTTAGCTCAAACTCAACCGTTTCTATTAAGATTGAAGGATAGAAAGAAACACACTACAAAACAAACATCCTTTAGAATTCTACATTAGACAATTTTGCCTATTCTGAAAACTTCATTTACAAGGGTTTGTAATTTGAGGAAGCCCTTTCTGTAAACTGGGTTAGCATAGTTTTTTTAGTTACCATAATTATATGCAGCCTGCATGAAATATTTCTAAAAGAGACATGTTTGGAGGAGTAGGGAAAATTTCTATCTTTGAGTTTTGAAAATGAATGCTGCCTTGAGTTATGAAATGAAGCTTTGGGCACTGAAGAGGTGACTCAATGAGTAAAGGTACTTGCTGACCAATGATACAACCTAATGACCTGAGTTTCCTACCTAGAACCCATGTAGAAGGAGCTGGCGAGGACCAACTCCACAGAGTTGTCCTCTGACATCCACAAGCACATCATAGCATGCATGCACTCACATACAACAATCAATCAATCAATAAATAAATAAATAAATAAATAAATAAAATTTAGAATATTTTCAAAAGTGAAGCTCCAACTTGACATAGAGGACTTGTGTGTGTTCTTTATTAAGTTGGGAACAGATATTAATACACCTTTTTTTCCCAAGAAAGTGTAGAATTGAAGTCCTAGGTGTCATGTAATTAAGAATGTATTTAAAACAATGTTAGCTTGTTTGTTGGTTTGTTTTTGATATGGACTATTTTCAAAGCCTTGTTACTGATGTCTCAGATTTGCAGGCCATTTGCAGAAAGCTTAATGCCTTCCTGGAATATATACATACAGTATTCCTTAATTGGACAGAGGTTGATATCTCAGAGTCTTAGATAGTAACATTTTACTAAATGTTCTTTATGTAAATTTGAAAAAGATTTTCCTAAAATGTAACAATCCTTAGAATTGGATTAATGAACATTCCTGAGAAGAGGGAGCTTTGCCTGAGGGAACTACGTCTCTGTTCATGTTACTTATCTTCAATAGCGTTCATCCTTGGTATTTGTGATTGGATAGGTGCACGCTTGTGAGCGTGTGTGTGTGTGTGTGTGTGTGTGTGTGTGTGTGTGTGTGTGTGTGTAGGGAAATACTGAGTAAAATGGTCTGTGATATTCAGTTTCTGTATCATAAAAACTAAACCCAAAGGCCTGCCCTATAGATCTATAAAGCAAATGATCTACACAACAGCCCATGGGCAGGATCAAGAGCACAGAGTAAGACTGGGTTTATTCCTGACTGACTTCCAGAAACAGACAGGCAGGCAGCTTGGAGGCTTCCCCTCCAAGCCTCTCATTCAGATAGAGCCTCACAAATTTGTGCATAGCACACAAATAAGAGAGCAGGAACATGGCTAAGCAAGCATCTGTGGATTAAGATGATGAGCCCTGTGGACATACTCTAAGGAGTGGTGTAGCTGGATCATTTTGTAGATCTACTTTTCTGTGAATTCCCTACACTGATTTCCAGAGTGGCTGCTCCACCTTGCAGTTGCACCAATGAGAATGAGGTTCCTTTGTCCCCACATCTTCACCAGCATTTGTTGTCATTTCATTTTTTTTTTTTTTGATCTTAGACTTCTGGGGTAAGATGAAGTCTCAAAGTAGTTTTAATTTTCATTTCCCAAAGTGCTAAGGATGTTGAACATTTACAAGTATATTTCTTAGCCATTTTCATTCCTCCTTTTAGGGGTTCTCTATTAAGAGTCATAGCTCATTTTTAAATTGGCATTGTTCTTGATCCTCTGGCTTTTGAGTTCTTTGTACAGTCTGTAGGATAATCCTAACTTTTGGGGGGATATCCAGTCACGCTGTGAACTCCCAGCTTGCATTTGCATTAATTAAATAAAATTAACCTCAGGTCAGGAGACTGAGTTAGCAACTAGTTGCAGAAAGCAATTGTAGAGCATCAGAGGGCATCTGGAAGAGATGGAGAGACACAAGGACTAGAGAGACACACTGACAGTAGTAGGGAGGGTTTTGAGTGGGGCAGCTCCGTCTGTCCTAGTGGAGGCTTTTTGGGATATGCCTGTTTTTTAGGAGAGAAAGGTGCTGCTCAACTTCTCTAAGCTAGCAGGTTTCCACCCCAGCCTTTGAGTCTTGAGTTTTGTTTATAAATAGTATGATACAGGTTTAGTTGAAGCTACCTTCAGTGGCAGCAGCAGAGCCAGTGCTTGCAGGAACAGAATTCTTGCCAGGTTTCTCTGTGTAATCTTGGTTATCCCGCAGCTTACTCTATAGATCAGACTGGCCTCAAACTTGAAATCTACCTGCCTTTGCAGACTGGATGTTAGGACTAAAGGTGTGCAGCACCACAACAGTCTGTCTCAGGGATTTTTTTATCATGAAGGAGTGTTAGATTTCATCAAAAGTCCTTTGTGCCTCTAATAAGATGACCATGTAGCTTTTGTCTGTCATTTTGTTTGTATGGTGGGTTACATTTATGGACTTACTTATGTAAAACCATCTTTGCATCTCTGGCATGAAGCCTACTTGATCAAGGTGAATGATCTTTTTGATATGTTCTTAAATTGGTTTGCAGGTACTTTGTTGAGAATTTATGCACCTGTGTTCATAAGGGAAATTGAAGTGTAATTGTTTTTCTTTGTTGGACCTTTATGTGGTTTAGGTGTTAGGATAAGTATGCTCCCAAGAGTAGGTCTGACTGCACTCTATAGCCTGCTCTCAAAGTTCAAGATTCTGATGGGAGGACTCACATGAATTCCTCCTCAAGTGTGCACTATCCACCAAGCCCAGTGGGAGGTGTAAATAGCGTTTTTTTTGATTCACTTTCATCTGCATTCACTTGTGGCTTTTCTTCAGACTGTGCCCTTCACCAAACCTTCACATTTTTCTTACCAAAGGTTTGGTGGTTCTCCCAGATTTACATGATCTTTTACTGACTCAGAAAAGGGTAATCTGCGGTGAGGCCTTTCATTTGATGTGAGTGACTTATTCGTATTCCCTTTCCTTTCACTATACAACTGTGTGAGATATTTTTCTTTACAAGAGGCACCTATTATCCACATGTGGCCCTGCCTCCTTCTCTTTCTTCCTCTTTCTTCCCTGCCCACTAATAATTTCTCCCCCATGCAAGGAACTGAGACAGGCTAGAAATGAGAATTTTCTGCTATGCTAGAAGCCTGCCAGCCTCCAGCAATCCTGCTTGAAGCTTGGGTTACAGGTATTTACTCATACTCTGGGTTCTGGGATCCAAGTCCTAGTCCCTATGATTGTGGAGCAAGCATTCTTAACTGCTGAGTGATCTCTCCAGTCCCAAGACTTCTTATTCAGCTGAATTTGATCTTTTGAAGAACTTTATGGATCCTAGTTCTGCCACTCATTATGATTAATCTTCTATCAAATATTATAATCAACCCAATTGATAAATGTAAGCTATTCTTCATTTCAACCACTATTGACGTTTAATAAAACAACCAGAATCCTAGTATCTCAACATATCCCTAAAATTTCTCTCAGGGAAGCAGTCTAACCACTAAATTTAGTCATGTTATCAGTTTATTAGTTTAGTTCACCACAGTGTCAGCATGTCCCACTACTCATTACTTTCTATAAAGTTCAGATTCTGAAGGACAGTAATCTCCCTTTCCTATGGGGACACATTCCAAGATTCCAGTGGATTCAGTAAGCATTTCTTTCTTTATGTAGAGACGTGTAATACAGTTAAATTTATAATTATGCACTGTAAGATATTAAAAAGCAATAAAATTGAATAATCATAATAACAGTGTAATAAAAGTTATATGAATATAGTTTCTCCATCAAATAACAAATTGTACTATGCTTTCTGGTTGTTCTTCTTTGGGTGGATGGGCAGAACCCACATGAAGAGATAAGTAAGATGAACTGTATAAGCATTGTGAAACAGTGTTATGTATCTCCAGAGGGCCACCTGCACACAAGCATTGCTAATACCCTCACAGTTCACTAGCAAAAGTGGCCTCAAAGACATCATATACTTTGTGTGTACCCAGGACAAAGGCATGATTCATATATCAAAGAATATGCAGCATAAGATTTTATCTCATTACTCTAAATTTCATGCATTTTAAAAATCTGTTAGTTATTTTTGGAATTTTCCATTTAACCTTTTTAGGAAACCTGAAAAACAAATATGAAGGGACCATGGTGCACTACTACCTTAGCTCCTCACGTAACTTCCCTTGACCTGAATTTTCATTTGTAAAATGTCTTTATCAATTGGAATGTTTGGGGAAGATACAAGAAGACAAGAAGCAGAACACAAGCAAGCCCAGTTCAGTCCCCTATCTCAAGATCTGATGTGGGATGGACTCCCTAGGAAACTGATGTTCCTTTTTCCCACTCGCTGGTTTTCCAAAAGTGTGATCTTACAAGAGTTCATTTAGGTCTGTTCAGAATTACTCAATTAAGTTACCATTTTGGCTTATACCCCCTCTTCAATATCATCAGCCCCTGTTCTTCTAGTTTGTTGGGGGGAAAAAGGAAACAGTACAGGGTATTTAAAGTACTTAATTAGCTTTTGATCTATTAAAGAAATTGACCCAAAATGTGGATATGTAAGATAATTATTAATCAATCCGATACTCTGAAGCTCCAGCATCCTCAGGCAGTAAATATTTCCTTGCTCGATTTGAAGCTATAGCATTGAACAAAGAAGAGAGACTGACTTGCTGCCATCCTGCTTAACACCTTTCCAGTCCCTGGGACCCAGGAGCACCAGGTCACACACTCTCACTTTCTGTTTATATTTGGTTCAGAGTATGCATTTGTGTTCAAAACGCATTTTATTTTATTTTTGTGAATATTGAAGAAGGTCTGTATGTACTCCTTTCATCTGGGCCCCTGCTTTGTAGCTACCCTCAGTTTGGAAAAAAGCATGGAGAAAGTTACACATGTAACCAACCCTATAAGCAGTGGTTCTCATCCTTTCTAATGGCTGTGACCCTTTAATACAGTTCTTCAGGTTGTGGTGACCCCTACCATAACATTATTGTCGTTGCTGTTTTATAACTGTAATTTTGCTACTGTTATGAATCATAATGCAAATATCTGATATGCAACCCCTCAAGGGATATGTGCCTCACAGGTTGAGAACCACATCTTTTGAGTAACACAACAGTCAACAAATAATAAATCAAAATTTTCTGCATTCAGTTTACCTCCTTTGATGTTAAGAATAATCATGTAACTAATCTTTATTTTCAGCTAAAAATTAAGATAATTATCATTAGGTTAATTATAGAGGGACCTACAAGCCTTTTGAAAATGTTTATTAAACAAATCCAATTTATACATACAGATCATAGACTTGTTTAGAATATTTTTAATGGATCTTCACATGTTCATTTAAGTTAAATTATTTAGCTTTATGCACTCACACACACATACACACACACACACACACACACACACACACACACACACACACACACACCCCAAGTGAGTTTAATGATAGATAAGACTGCTTTCATATATCAGAGGTGGGAACGCATTGTTAACACTGTTGTATCAGAACCCCATGTCCTCACAGTCTAGAAAGTTTCACTTCATTGTGTTCATCACTGTACAAGGACTGTTTGTTGTCTCTTCTTTCTGTTAGAAAATTAATACCAGCTTGTTTATTTCTTGCTCAAATGCTACATGAGTGTCAGTGGTGCATGTACTTAGTAGTAGATGGTTCTGAAAGTACTGAGTGTGGAGTAGGCCAGCGGTGCTGAGAGATTTAACTAAAAATAATAGCTAACTAAAAGTAATTTTGTCTTTCTCAGTTCTTTTCATAACTTTGCAAACAGGAATAAGTTTTGCTTATTGAAGGAGCCTCAATTACAGTTTTTAAACATGGCCTTCTGTTCAACATGGCTTAATTAGTTCATAAACAAATTATCTTTAAGCTAACTTTAAAACATCTAGCATGGTATGAATGCCTACCTTAGCTTTGGGATGTGTATTCAATCATAGTTCTTGATAATTTGTTAACAAGGCATTTTTAACCTTTTGGACAGATGCACATACTGTTTTCAATCTTCATGGTTAATAATTCGATTTTGTATTTGATGCCAGAACACCCTGACTCTTAATCACTGCTCATTGTTGCAAGTCTATTATATTCTAACTGTTTGAGTGCTCCCATTGACCTTGAACTGACATTATAAGCTGTGTCTAATCTTTTGAGTCTATATTTCTAATGCTTCTTTTCTTTTTCCTTTTTTTCTGATCCCTGTTTAGCATCACAATGGGGCTGCCTCTGAGCCCTGCAGCTGACTCTGCCCGCTCTGCAAGGCATGCCCTTTCTCTCATTGCCACTGCCAGACCACCCGCCTTCATCACCACCATAGCTAAGGAGGTGAGCAGCTGCCTTCATGGGCGACATCTTCCATTTCAGAGGAATTCCTCCATACTGTAACTCAGGGGCCAGGCCCACAAACGACCCCTCTAGTTCTGAAACAAAGCAAGTTAATAAATAGTATAGTGCGGAAATGAATGCGTCATGTCCACACGCACACTAAATTCCACAGCTGTGCGTTCAGGACTCGAACTTCCTTGTTCCTCTCTGTTCTCAGAATGACCACACTTGTATTATTTGACAGTGCCTTTCGATATGAAATATAATTGGTTTATGCAAATTAAAAGGTACTAAAGGCATTTATGTTTCTCAAGTGTAAGCAAATACTTGTAATCAAATCTAAACTTATTTAGCAGTGGCTCTCCAATGGTATACAAAAATGTAAGCCCTAAAATTGCTGATTGTTTTTCCTATTCTGTGTCACAGAGAAAGCCTTGAAAGTCCATTGATTCCTGCATTCCTGGTGCTCTGACTAATTGCCCACATCCAGCTGACAAACTAGTAAAGAACAATGAGCCGATTCTGTGTTCTTTCCTATACATCTTAGTAGTGAGAGGAAAGGGAACGTTCCTAAACGTTTGTAAAGGTTTGTTCCATCTGGCATTAGTACTGTGCAGCTCAGTGTCCATAGGGTGTGAGTTTTGTCTGAATTGCTTTTCCTATAGCTATGATGAACTTTAAAATAATAAACTCCTCTGAGTCTGCTTGGATAACCTGACGCTGGGTCCACATCTGCACCGTAGCCGTCGTGACAGGCATGCTGTGAAAGAAGCTAGAAGGGAGGGAAGATGGTCCTGGTGGAAGTTTGTATGGTCAGTTATGATGCAGGGGAGCCATGAATTCTTATCTGACATAAATTTGTGGACTACAGGTGTGGTGATAATAAACTTTCACTGTGTTTAATTACACTCAGGCTTACATGCCGAATACTTGTAGCAAATCTGTGTGTTGTTTGAATGAATAGTTTTATTTAACTTGGAAATTTTTAACCAGTTTTTTCCCATGTATGGAATATGCATAGGAGGTAATATTGATTACTTTGAGGAAGTTTTATATTAGTCTGACAGGTCTTTATAGTAACTATATTTCTGAACTTTATTTTTTATTATTTACATTATATTAATTTTGAGTGAAATGTTAGAATACTCATACTGAAACATTGAATTGGAAAAATCATTTGGATGGATTTGGATGGAGGCAGGAGAAAGAAACAGTTCAAAGACATCTTTAGCTACACAGAATTTAAGCCCAGCCTGCTACGTGAGAGCCTATAAATGAATGAATAAGCAAATATATTGATAAATAAATAAGTAAGCACCAAGAAGTTGTAGAATTTTATTAAACCATTCTTACTTAGTTTTCATTATATATAATGCTTTTTTGTGATTCAGAAACAATTCTTGACCTACCTTGAGTGATTTGTTTTCACCGTTCTGATTGATTGTATATTTCTTTTTTCTATAATCAGTGGAAAGTAAACCAGTGCCTATTAATGTAAATCTGTGTGGAGCGGCAATTTCATCTAGAGTGTGGCAATTCTTTTCTAGGTACACAGACACACGGCCCTTGCAGCAAATACCCAGTCACAGCAGAGTATACACACAACAACCTTGGCAAGAGCAAAAGGGGAAATCCTGAGAGTCATTGAAATTCTCATTGAAAAAATGCCTACCGATGTTGTGGATCTTCTTGTGGAGGTGAGAATGTCCTGCTTCCAGTATACGTGTCCCTGCATTAAATACTTGAGATTAAAAATAAGGGAGGAAGAAGGGAAAAGTAGAGGAAGGGAGAGGGAATGGATCACATAACTAAGATTAATTAACTTCCATGCTATTTCAATAGGTCTTAAATCCATTTCCTCAAAACTAAAATTGATTGTTATCGCCACTGACCATTCATATGGAATTGATATATATTAGAATATTTTAAAGGCTTTGTTGTTACCAACATCCATTGTAAATAAAACCACTTGCCCCATGTGCTTGAGAAACAACCCTACTGTGCACATGAGCACAGTCAGCTTTAGAAGTAATGAGTTCATTTCTACAGACAAGACCAAGGTTAACATGTAGTGTCCATAGGCTTAAAATAGCTTTGTTACTCTTAAAGTAAATACTAATCAAACTACATGGATTTACATGGACAAAACGAGGCCCAGTGGAGTCATTTAAGTTTTACAAAATCAAACATTTGAAGTTAACTTTCGATCTGTGTCTTCCTTGTCAAAGGTCATGGACATCATCATGTACTGTCTTGAAGGATCTTTAGTCAAAAAGAAGGGACTTCAGGAATGTTTTCCAGCTATCTGCAGGTAAAGAAGCCTTCAACAGCATGCAAAATAATTGATTTTCAATAGCAGATAATTAAAAATTATAATAAGGAAAATGAGAAAACCAGGTATTAATCACTACTTGCTTACTTTCTCAAATAATTCTGCAGTTCGTGGTAAGAACACAAAAATAATAGAACTAGTTATTTAATGAGTTCACAAGAGCATTTTGCTTATGACTTAAAAGTACATTGCATATGTCTGTTCTCACAGTCTACTCAAATTGTTATTTATGTTACAAAACACATAGACTACTTCTGACTTAGGGAAAAACATGCTTTCCAGCAACAGAAATCAGTAGGTCACTTTTTCACTCACTAGTAAATTTTTTTTATTCATCTATTTATTTTACATCTGGCTGCAGCCTCCCATCTTCCCCTCCCAGTCCCTACTCTCTATCCCCATTCCTCCTCTTCCTTGCTACACACTACATGTACTTGTCTTCCCACTCTGATGTGCCAAAAGCAATTGCACTTTGTCTATGGACTTAGTAGTATTATTGAGCACCAGCTGTATATCACACAACTATTCCCTGGAGAACAAATGATAGATTAGATAACCCTGTGCTTCAGGATGACAGTGGCTAATGGGGCGGAGATTGCATCGGATCTGTGGGCTGTGTAGGGTGCCTGGTAGACTTCCTACCAGGGGCTGAGTTGGGCAATAATGTAATGCCCAATTCAGTATATGGAATCTGAGAAATTTCATAAGGAGAATGTAGAAGCAGAATAGTGTCTGTTAAAAATGCCATCATGTCTCCAAGGTAAAGAAAGGGATCTGTGTTCTGGGAGAACCAGAGTGATGGCTGCAGGAGCAGTGGTGGGTCTTAGGGATGTTTCACAGAGGGCTGACCAGGTGGGATTTGTGACATGAAAAGGTGTGTGTCTTCTTGAAAGGCAAAGAGAGAACCAAACCGCTACGTGTTTGGAGTCACAGAAGTATTCAGTAAGTTTGGCCATGCCGTGTAGTGGGGTGGTTAGAATATAGGCTTCACAGAGACGTATAGAGTCAAGCCAGGCCTCTGAGTTCCCCCCACAGAAGAGTTTGACCTTATTTAATAAGCAATGGAGTGTTAGGAAAGTTTAAGCAAAATATTAAAGCTATAATCATAAAGAAGACATAGACTTCCATTGCAAAATAAGTACTTATATTTTTCTGTAAAATCAAGAGTGATTTTAGATAGAAGAGTTAAAAGTTTATATTTTCAGAAATGATTTAGCTTTTCTTAAACTATGTTATTATGTAGACAGACTGATTGATTTTCCTTTTGAAGTTAAAAAGCTGAATCAGCTCATTTCACCTTAAATGGGCACTTAAACCCTAGTAAAAAATTGCACACTGTCTACTTCAGAACACTGCATGAGCTCATTTTCAAGTGACTCCTCCAGACTTGTAATTTGTTCTTAGCCTGTTCGGTGATAAGTGATGGAACATAGAACAGCTTCTACCATAACTTCCAGTAAAATCCTTAAAATTAGTAGTTGTTTTGTACTTTAACTTGATACTGGCTGATTAAATGTGTTATTCATACCCCTGCTGGTAGGACTTCTCTCATTAATTTATTCCTATCCTTCACACCTAAAAATCTCCTTGGCAAGTTGTCTTGAGGTATTAAAAGCCTTCATGTTAAAATAAAACAAAATAGGACCTGGTTGCACTCAGTTGTAGAGCAACTTGCATGTGTCTCCTTGGGTTTAATATTATCAAGTATATTCATTCATATATAACTCTGGACCTTCTATCTGTATTCCATTGTACAGAAGAAGGTTGTTTAAAACAATATAAAGAATGAAAATTTAAGCTGGGTATGGTGGCCCACGCCTGCATCTGTACTTACCAAGTATAACCTTGACAAGTTACTTAAATTATTATTCATTGGTGTCTTTATGAGCAAAATGGAAATAATATTTACTATAGTTCTAGGACCAGACAATGAGGTTCCCATTTGTCAGCCATTACATAACACACTAGTAATTTTCTTCTCAAGTGTTATGTCCTGTGCACAGCCCCAGAAGCATTTCCTATTCTATGTTATGCAACCTAGCCATAGTATGCTGTGCTATAATAAGTAGTTCTTACCCCCAAGGAGTACCATAATTTACTCATTAACTACTCAACAAGAAGTATTTATTAACTACTTAACTATGTAAAACCATGACTGAAAATAGTAACTCACAAACAAACAAAATTCTTCAGCATCACCATCACAAGCTAGGACATCTTCTATTGGTCTTTTGAGCTGATACCTTCTGCTAGAAAATACCTACTAATGTGTATGTCCAAAATCTATACATCAGCCCCTGTGAAGGGTTCCTTTACTACAGCCATTTATCATGCCCACAAAAATATTTCAAGCATGTGCACAGCCTATAGGGTTAGAGTACATGGGGGAAGGTATGAAAATGGTTATAAAGTCACAGTATTATCCTTCATTGCAGCTGTGGTGTCTCTGTGACTGTGTTCTGAGGACCTACTCCTGAATCTCTCAGACTTGAAGAATACACAGTACATGGCTCTCAGAAGAGCTCCATGACACTGGTCCAGCCAAGAGGTGTGGACAGTTGCTTGTCACTTGTACTTCTTGTGCAAGTGACAGTGACCCATGCTTGCTTCACTGCAAAATTTCTGTAATTTTTTTTCTGGAGATTCAGTACCTGTGCTGGGAGTTAAATCTTTCTTCATTGTTTATTGAGAACACATCATGAATGTCTCAATCCTAGTCACTGTTCATGTTAAACAAAGGGATGCAGTATTCTGTTGGTTAAATTTTAAGGGGATTTTTCCTTACATTATTAATAAAGCTTGTATATGCTTATCCTGCAAAGTATAAACGTGTGGATCAATCTAAAAAAATATTGCATACAAATTAGAGTAAAAGTGCAGTGCCATTTATTTTCCCTCCTGTTGGCAAAAAACTTAAGAAATTTGATGATTCCAATGAGTGGGCATTTGGTGAGCATCTTAGGAACTTGGCATTTCCTATCTAAATTCTTTTTTTATTGTTTGTTTTGTTTTTTGGAGACAGGGTTTCTCTGTGGCTTTGGAGGTTGTCCTGGAACTAGCTCTTGTAGACCAGGCTGGTCTCAAACTCACAGAGATCCGCCTGCCTCTGCCTCTCGAGAGGCGGATCTCTGTGAGTTCGAGGCCGGGCTGGACCGATAGCCTCCAAAACAATACAGAGCAACCTTGTCTCGAAAAACCAAAAAAAATAAAAATAAAAATAAATAAATAAATAAATAAATAAATAAAATAAAAGTCTGTGCTACCAACGCCTGGCTTCCTATCTAAATTTTAAGTGTGCATATCATTTGATTCTACTTTAATTAATCTGTCCAGCAAAAATATTCACCTAGGTATTCAAAGATCCATGACATGCTATAGCCTAATTGTCTATTAGAAAAAGGGTAATTAAGTAGTGGAAGGCGTGCTCACTGAATGCAGTGCTGCTGTGAGGAAGATGCCTGTTATCCATGTGCCTGCTAGAGCAGCGTGTCCCTTACATCACAGCAGACACCTCCCTGCAGGGTGATACATATGAAGATCACCTGTTATCCATGTGCGCTGATAGAGCAGCGTGTCCCCACAACACAGCATACACTGCCCTATAGGGTGATATGTATGATGCTGTTGTCTTAAAGGTGGAAAACACTCATGAAAGTCTCTCAATATTTACTAGAGTATGAGAAGAAAAATGTATATTTTTATTATAATTTTAAATTATGATCATTCATGTTTATAATATGCAATGATCAAATTCAGGTAGTGAACATTTTCATCTCCTTAAGCATTATTTTCCAACTTTTGATTAATGCACAATAATTACACATATCTGTGGTAAAATGTGAGATTCAGATACATATGTTCTTACAAAACCAGGTAGTATTTCTATCTTTCTGTCATTACTTCATTTGGAGCCTTTAAGCCATCCTCTTCTTGTTATTCATAAAGTGTACAATAGTTTACTGTGGTCTGTAACCACTCTACTGTGCCACAGTGTTGTACAACACTAGAACCCTTTCTAGATACCTATAGTTTGGTTGTTACTATCCAAGTTTCCTAGTCCTCATTGCCTCCCACACTCCCCAACCTCTAGTAATCACCACTCTACATTCAGATGGTCGTTTTTAGCATTCTCATATGTACCTGTCTTTAGGTTTGATTCATTTCATGTAATATTATGTCTTCAGTTCCATCTGCACTGCAAATGGTAGGACACCATTCATTTTTATGGGTGAAGATACTCTGTTATAAATGGCACTTCTTAGTGTACTCATCCAATGATAATAGGGTAATTTTTTTTACTTTAGTGCTGTACATAGTTGAGTAATAAACACGGTATGCAGGTATTTAATTAATTTGATACTATCATTTCTTATTTTGGAACATCCATACTGGTCTTCATAATGACTGTACTAATTTATATTCCCACCATGTATGAGCTATTTCTCTACGTCCTTATCAGAATTTGCTATTTTTTTTGCCTTTTATAGCTATTTTTAACTTTAATGGGAGTGATATTTCATTATGCTTTTTTCTGTTACTAATTTTAATTCTAAAAATTCATAGTATGCAGTTGTGCATACTAATGGGATTTCATGTGATATTTTGATATGTGTGTGTACATTGCATAATGTTTTAAAATACCTAACTCCTGAGGTTAAATGTGCCCATCTCCTCAAATATCTATCATTTGTTTGTAGAATATTCAAAAGCTTTAATTTAAATTTATATATTGATTATAATTATGCATATATGTTAAATGTGCTTACAATGAATATACATATTAGTTTTTTGATGAGTTTTTTTAGTGTATTGCTTTAACCTTTAAGAAGAATAAAAAGCTTAAGGATTACTTAACTCAATATCAATAAACTTTAAAAGCAACTAGGTTCAGATTTGCTTATAATGTATTATGAGGTTTGCATAACAAATACTTAAGATAGTGCCTGATATGCATAGTTAGGACTCTGTATGGTAACTAC